GACAAAATGTGAAATGTCCATAAAATGGCATATTGTTTGGCAATTAAAAGTACTGATACGTGCTACAACATGCATGAACCTTAAAAACAAAAAAGCCCATCACAAAATACCACACATTGTATGGTTCCATTTATATGAACGAGCCAGAAAAGACAAGTCAATAGATAAAGTTGATTAACGGTTGCTTAGAAGTAAAGGGGGGTGGTTAGGGGAGTGGAAAGTGGAAATGGGAATGGGAGCAAGGTTTCTTTTTGGCATGACAGAAATTTTCTAAAATTAGATTATGGTGGTAGTTGTACAACTCTATAAATATATATACTAAAAATCATTGATGTTTTAAATATGTGAACTTAATTATATGTAAAAATAAAGCTGGGGTTGTTTTGTAGGGTTTTTTTGTTCTTGGGGGGTGGATTTGGAGAATTTTTATGAGTTTATTTGAATCAAACTGATGACATATGCTGGGGAGCAAGATCTCATGCTCCTCAAATAAACCTGTTTTGTTTTGTTTTTTAAGCAAAAAGATGTTTACACATACAAAATTAAGGTCTAAAGAGTTTGTGACTAGTTACCCTCTAAATAGTGGCAGAATTATGGTGAGAGCTTAGGTATTTTTAACTCTTAAAGCTAGAATTTTTCCTCACGACAGAGATACACGGCTTTATTCATTTATTTATTTTGCTTAAATCTAAGGGTTGGTTAGTCGATAGGATTCGTGCATTTGAGCATTTTGTTACTAACTTATCAATGAAATGACAAAGCACCACTCAGATACTAGAATGTTTGCACTTTTTAAAATGTGAGAAATGTTTATGGAACTTTGCTGTTTTTTCTCTATTTTTATTACACTTTTATGATTTGTACCATTTATTAAAAAAAGTCATAACAATAGTTTTCTTCAACTTATTGCGCTTTAAAGAATAACATTGTCAATAAATTGTTTACTTTAAGATATTGAAACCATCTGAAAAGAAAGCTAAGTATCAGTATGGTGGACTGAATTCAGGACGTCCCGTCACTCCACCTCGAACAGCCAATCCACCGAAGAAAAGGTGAAGAAAGGAGCTGTGTAAAGAAACCATCAGATTTGTTAAGGACATACTTCATAATATATAAGTGTGCACTGTAAAACCATCCAGCCATTTGACACCCTTTATGATGTCACACCTTTAATTTAAGGAGACGGGTAAAGGATCTTAAATTTTTTCTAATAGAAAGATGTGCTACACTGTATTGTAATAAGTATACTCTGTTAAAATATTCAACAAAGTTAAGTCCAAATTCAAAATTACCCATTAAAGATACATCTTCACTTATCACAGTTTTTAAAGTTGAAAAGCATCCCAATTAAACTAGATGTGATAGTCAAACCAGATGAAAGCATGATGATCCTTCTGTGTAATGTGGTTTTAATGTTGCTTGGTTGTTTAATTAATTTGGGCTTGTTTTGTTTTGTTTGTTTGTTTTTGCTAGAATAACCGCAAGTATTTTAAACTTTTTTCCCTAAACATTTTTAAAAGTGAAATGTGGGACGAGCTTTAAAGACGTTCACCAACTATTACTTTTTCTTGCTTATTTACTTATGTATCTGTTTGATCTTAGCTAAGAAAATTTATGCCTCATTATTGTAAAAAGGAATTTCAGAGATTGATATTTTAAAAGTATGCAAACTGTCCAATCCAGTGATTTAATCAAACAGTTTGGGTAAACTTTGAGGCTGATAGTGACTATTTTGCTTCATTCAGAAATTGCCACAGATTTGGATTTGTGCACTCTAATTTCTAACTTATTCTCTATTGTGCAGTAGCATTTCATTTAACTTTAAGATAAGGCTCATATAGTATTACCCAGCTAGTTGGTAATGTGATTATGTGGTACCTTGGTTTTAGGTTTTAATTTGCACGAAACACCTTTTGGCATGCTTAACTTTCTGGTAACACTCTCACCTGCATCATCTTTGTTTTTTCGGTTTTTGTTGTTGTCGTTACTGTTATTTTTTGGTTTTAGATCCACAAAACAGAATCCTTTTTTGACAAGCCTTAGGAAGCTGACACTATTTCTTTTTCCCTCACTCTGTACGAAGGATGTATTTAAATGAATGCTGGTCAGTGGGACATTCTGTCAACTATGAGTATTGGGTGCTTAACTGTCTAATATTGCCATGTGAATGTTGTATACGATTGTAAGGCTTATGTCACTAAAGACTTTTATTCTGATTTTTCATGATCAAAGTTCATATTGTATAGACATGCTTTGTAGTGAACTATAGTAGCAATAATTTCTGTACATGATCAAGGGTTTTTTGCAGTATTTCTTTTCCTGTTTTCTTTTTTTTAAGGGTTAGTATTAACAAATGGCAAGAGTACAAAAGTGAACATAAAGGTTTTATAAGAACTTAGAGAACACAGATTTGTGATTTTTCGATGCAATACTTTTGGATGTGATTCTAAAAGCTTTTATTGAGCGTTGTCAAATTTGTAAGCTTCATAGGGATGGACATCATATTTATAATGCCCTTCTATGTGTGCTACCATAGTTGTGAAATTCTTGACCTTAATATTGTCTTTAAAAATGTTAAATTGAGAACTCTGTTAACTTACATTTTATGAATTGGTGTATTGTATTTCTGCAAGAGATTTGATTTTCAGCACAGTGCAACGTTCTTTCAAATGCTCTTTTTTTTTCTAATTCCATTTTGTTTTAAAGCACATTTTAAATGTAGTTTTCTCATTTAGTAAAAGTTGTCTAATTGATACGAAGCCTGACTGGTTATTTCACCCTCCCCCTTTTTTCCTTTACAGTGAGACATTTAATACATTTTAATCCCATAGATTTCAGTGTCTGATGTATATTGAATTGATCCTTTTCTGAAGGTGTTTGTGTACTGTGTATGGTAGGCTTTTATCTAATGTGATTTTAAATAACGAGTGTAAGTTGAGCGATGTCTAATATAATTTTAGATGTACTTTTAATAGTCATAGTGAAGCAGACCTAAAAAATAAGCCTTTGGCAGAAAACAGGGTAGTCTTTTATTAATCTCAGTATTAATAAAACCACATTAATTTTGATCCCACTTACTGGAGGTCTGTAATAATATATCCAGCTCAGTACTGATTATGAAAGCATAGTTACTAATTAAATAAGTATTTGGTCACTAAATTTTAAAGGATGGAAATTCACTGTTTAAATATTATTCAAGCAGTCTTTAAACCACTTTAATAGCTTCTATTTATATATTGATTATTAAAAGTATTTACTTGGTAATACTGCTACTTGAAGTAAAACTTCATTTCTTAGGAGAATCATACCCTGTAATTTTAATGCCACTAATTTACAGTGTCCTTCCTCTCTGATTTTTAATAATTTTCTATATTTAAGTGTATCTATAATCCAAATGTCATGACATTCAAATTCATTAAACCTCACCAGATAATGTGATAGCATCAATTTCTGTTTTGAAATGAAGAGAATTGACTACAGTAGACCCCTTGCATTTGAAGCTTTAATATTTATTGTTTTAATTTTGCCCAGGGACAAATTTTAATCATGACCAGCAAGACTGTTTTGCAAAATGTGGAATCAAATACCAGGAAGAAAAATTTTAAAGCTTAAACAGTGGCTAATTGGAAGTGTTCAAAGGATTTATATGCCCTTCAAAAAAAAAAAAGTGAGGAGGAAAGACAGGAGGAACATCTTGGCATGTGTCCCTTAAGAATGTAAAAGTGAGCCCTGGCTGGCGTAGCTCAGTGGATTGAGCGCGGGCTGGGAACCAAAGTGTTGCAGGTTCGATACCCAGTCAGGGCACATACCTGGGTTGCAGGCCATGACCCCCAGCAACCGCACATTGATGTTTCTATCTCCCTCCCTTCCCTCTCTCAAAAAATAAATAAGTAAAATTAAAAAAAAAATGTAAAAGTGTGTCATACTGAGCCAAGGAAATGAAATGTGTCTTCATTCTTAAGTTCAGGTACATTTTGTCTCCTTGGCAACCATAACTTTTGAATTCAGCTTTTTTTTCTTTAACTTATTTATGCCAAAAATGTGTTGAGAGAAGGAACATGGTCAAGCTTACTTACCTCTCTTGCTGCCCTGCGCAGCCCACTCCTCCCGCCCTTGGGTATCCAGCCCCAAACAAAGCCACACCTGAGAAGACGTGGGCCAGCAGGACTAGACCAGTGGCATCCACTTAGAAATATTGTACTATGTCCCATTTTGCTAGGTTTCAGTGCTTTATGATTTCCTTAAACAGTTAAAAAAGTGCTTAAAAGTATCTTAAAGTGACAGCACACCTTAAAAAATGAACAGTAGGGAAATAAGACAAACTGATTGCATGTAAGTATACACCTGAAGTTTTACCATTACACTTTATTCAACAAGTGACATTTAGATACAGTGTAACAATTTTGATCTGTTCAATTTGATCACCCACTCGGATATTACGCAGTCAGAAGAAATATCTAGCAAGACTGTAGCAACATGAAAAGAGCCCAGGGGGCAGGGGCAGGGAGGTTATCCATTAGGCAGAATGGAAGAATGAAACGGGACAAATTACAAAACCGTGAAGGATTTTTATGTATTGCTTCAACAAACATTAGGCACGTACTACATCCTAGTCACCTGGCCAAGGGGTAAGATAAGGCCAGAACGACTCGTGTAGAAGAATTTACAACTCAGAACACATTGAACAGAATGGGAAGTATTACCCCTTATCACAGAGCCTTGGTAATCACACCTTTTATTAATTTAAGTGGGCTGTTCATATAGTAATTTTAACATAGCAGGGCCGCTCCATCAAGCTGAGAGGAAGACCGATGGCTCCGACACACGCCTGACTTTGTGTCCAAAAGAAAGGGATTAAATTAGGACTCCTTCCTGGGGAGATCACTGACCGTCGTGGTGTTTTCTTTTGGCAAGAGTGGAAGCCGGGCGGGATAACGGTAGGTCCGCAGACGGCGGCGCGCGCATCCTCCGGCCGGCCCCGCCCCCAGCGGCGGCCTCTGAGCTGATTGGCCCGCGCTGGCCCCGCTCTCCATTGGCCGGAGGTCTTCGAGCAGGTCGTGCAGCTGTGGAGCGACCTGCGAGCTACCGTTTGAGGCCCGGGGGCGTCTGGGGGAGGCTGACCGCCCGCCCGGCCCTTGTCGCCAGCCCCAGGTTTTCGCAGGTACCTTAGTCCCGAGTGTTCCCGGCGACTCCTGGGTCGGTGGCGCCCGGTCCCTTCATTCCCTCTCACACCCAACCAGCCCTTCTTTCCACCGGGTGTGAAGACGTCCACCGGGTGTGAAGACGTGGCGGCGACTCTGCCCCTTCCTTACACTGCACACTACCGCCCACGAGTCCCCTCTGTGGCTTCGCAGGGACGAGGGCACACCCTTCCGAGCAGCGGAGGCCGGGGCCTGGGGGCCGGGCGGGGCGTGGGGGTGCGGGGGTAGGACGCGAGCGGCTCGCGGCGGTGGGCCGGGGCGAGGCGGGGGGCGCGGGGAGAGCTGCCGGGACTGGGCATGGCGGGCCGGGGCCGGTCTGTGGGGTCGCCCGGCGCCGCGCTCCCGCGGCCGAGCAGGTGGTGCGGGCTGCTGGGCCGGCGGGGGCGGGGAGGGGACGGCCCTGCCGCGGCCTCCCTCACGCAGCCCGGGGTTTGGCTCTGCGGGGCCCCTCGTTCGCGGCCCCGCTGACGGAGTCCGCGCGCCGGTGCATGGTGGGGGGGGGGCGCGCGGCGCGGCGCGTGGAGTAAGACCGGCCTCCGGCTCGCGTCCCCTGGAACACACCTGTTCCCCGGCGGCGCCTGCGCGGGAGGGCCGAGCTTCGACCGGCCGGCTGCGCGTTTCCGCGCCTCTCGCTCGTTTCCCAGCCTTTGCGGGGACGCGCTCCTTGCGTTTGCGGCGCCGCTGGAGGCCGCCTGGCCTCCGCTGGGAAACAAACTAACCAGCGCGCGGGGCGGGGCGGGCCGGCGCAGCGCGGGGCGGCCGAGCGAGCCGCGCCGCGTGGACGCTGCTGGGTCCCGTCTGTTCACACCCTCTACAGAGCACACTTCGAAGTGCTGTGTTTCTTCACGTCTAAACCACGCGTATTAGTCCAGGGGAAGCTGGGTTACCCGTCCCAGTTCGCTGAACGGCGCCCTTCCCGTAAAAAAGACGCGGTGCCGGTGCCGCTCCGCGGCGCGTTTCGGGGCGCGCACCCTCGCTGCCGTCCTCTCCCCCACCGAGCGGGGGCGGCCAGCCTTGCCCGGTCACGGGCCGCTTTCACGGAGCGCTTGCTGTGCGCCAGATTTTAAAGACGGAAACAAAGGCCTTTGGTAGCTGGGCGTCCTACGGGAGGAACCTGCCCCAGCAGTGAAGCAGCGCGGGGGCGCGGAGCGAGGGGGCCGGAGGCCGGCTCGGAGTCGGGTCTGTTCGTGTTCGCCGGGTCTCCGCGTCCGCCCGGCCCGCCCCGCCCGCGACCCCGGCCCCCCGGGCGGCTGCTCTGCTTCGTCCTCCCCGGTCGCTGCCGCCCTTCTCCAGCCCGTCCCTCCTCCCGTCCTGCCCGGTCTCCGTCCCGCGTGCCCCGCCGCGTGGCCGGGGCGGGCGGGGTTTCTGGCCGGCCTCACCGAGACTCACTCCAGCAGCGCGGGAGCTTCGGGCGCTTGGCCGAGGCCGCTGGCGTTCCGTGGCCTTTGCAGACGTTAGGGGGAAGGTTCAAAGGCGAAAACTGTGGGGACTTGATCATGGCCCCGGCAGCGCCAGCGACGCAGCCAGAATGTTTTGCCTAAATTTGCTGTATTGTTTTTCAACAATTAGACTCTGTGGTTGTAACGGAGAAAAGTGCTATAGTCGTTTCGGTGAGGATTCTGTGTTAAGAGATGTTTTAGTTTAGCACAAAGGTGAGACGTCCATTGTTTTATCCACTAAGTCATAATTTATTGCGCGCACTTTTACACTGCAAATGCACGAGTTAAATTTTTATAAAGTGTAATGTGGTAGCTGTGTTTATATATATGTTTTCCTGGCAAAGTGACAGTAATACCGGACTGCTTACCACGTGTCATGTGTTTTATACGAGATTTCACTTAATCTTCAGAACAGTTCTTCAGTGACTACAGAATGTGGGGCTGTGGTGTCCCAGGCCTGGATTCAAGTCCTGGCTTTATCCCTCCCTGACTGTGTGGTAATGGGCAAACGTGTTCACTTCTCTAAGCCCCAAGCCTGTAATCTAGAAAATAAGAATAAAATGACACCCACCTTATAGAGATGTTTTGAGAATTAAGTTAGATAACGCATGTAAAACTTTCAGCGTAGTGACTGGCACATATTAAGTGTTCAGCGTAAGGCTCTGCAGTGGAGGCTTACCTGCCTGTCCTCAGTTGCGCATGGATGTTGCAATTAGATTTTTGTCAAAGAGGCAGACAGGTCTCCAAACTGCTGCTTCCATTGTGCTGTTCGGTGACACACCGCCAGACACTCCCTACATGACGTGCAGAGAGAAGACATTGTTCGGATGCCTACAGATGAGCTGTATCTGCTTACTCTCCCACCACCGCCAAAGAACAACCCCCACGCCCGCCAGACATTCTATTCAAGTATGAATTCTGGGGCGACTTTTTTTCATGTTGATGGAGTCCAAGTAAACTCATTGAAGGATTTTGCCTTATGAGCACACATGGTAGTAATTATGTATATTGTTAAAGATCAATGCATTAACTTTGTTTCAAGTTTTATTAGATTATAGCAATGTACATTCGTGTACACTTATAATCTGCCACTCAATAGCATGCTCCTATACTCAAGTTTAAATATTAAAGTGATCAGTTTATGAGAATCTCTCAAAATACATATACTGTATATCTCTTCGTTAGAATTGCTTTTAACTTTTTAGAAAATACCAATAAATACTATTGAATAAGTGAATTTTGTAACATATCAAGGAATTACCAGTAAGAAAATATGTTTTTGTGTGTGGGGGGTTGCTTTTTAATACAATACTTTAAATTGATTATAATTAAGTTATGCAAATAGTTTGCCTTGATCTATTAAAAAATTGAGGTGGTGGCATATAAAAACCATATGATAAAAAATATGTAAGGAAACAAAAATTTGAGGTGGCATATAACAATACTATGATAAAAAGTATGTCGATACAAGCAGAGTAAAAAATTAATCAGGAAGAAAGACTACCTCAAAAAGATTATAAACTCAGCATAGCTTCTATAATTAACTTTCAGATTTGGTTTTGAGTTCCTCAGTCAAAATGGGGTATAGGATCTTATTTCTTGGGAAGAGGAGGTATATCAGTTACCCAAAGAAAGCTTAGCATTTCTTAGCACTGAATTCTAAAAGCACTTTCTCATGTGAGTCACTGTCACAACATTTTAGTAGCAAGTTCAGTAACATTTCCCAGGACTGCCTCTGGTGGTGTCATTAAGTTAGTTGTTTTTATATAGAAATAAGAGTGTGATAAGTAATTGTATGTTTTACTTTTACAGGAATCTTGGGAAACCAAAATGAGGCATAATCAGCTGTATTGTGAGACACCACCTACTGTTACTGTTCATGTAAAATCTGGGTCAAGTAGATCACATCAGCCTAAAAAACCTATTAATTTGAAGCGCCCTATTTTTAAAGATTGTAGGCCAGCATCTGAAAAAAATGTGCAGATTAGCAACAAGTCTAAACGCCCCAAAGGACCCTGTCTGGTTATACAGCGCCAGGAAATGACTGCTTTCTTTAAATTATTTGGTAGGTTTAAAATATTGAAATAATGGTAATTAGAGAATACTTTAAAATGAGAGACTGTAAAGATTTATTATTTTCATAATAAAAGAGGATGCTGTTATTTTCTGTCAGATTTCTCATTTCCAACCAAATCTATGCTTGTTTCACTTAGTCTTTTTAAATGTTGGGTTTTGTTTGTTTTGATTTTTTTGGATTAGAAATTCAGACTCATCTCACTTCTTGACTACTTAAATCCAAGTGTCAAATGTAAATCCTGGGCAGTTCAAATTCAGAGCATGAGTTCTCTTTGACCTAAAGTAAAATACTATATAAACTCTCAGCCAAGCCAACTGTCACAATTTGAGGGACTCCCAAGACTTTCAGTGCTGTAACTGAGCAAACTGGGAAGGTTAGTCAACCTAGAGAAGTTTCAGTATTATATCTGGGGAATATTGTTAACAATTAGCTATGCTTTATTATCATGCTCATACAGTAAAAATCAGTTTGAATTTGTTCAGACTATGACATAGTACTACTCTGATTATAACATTTTTTTAATCACCAAAAAGAAACTTCTTTATAGTATTTTTACTGGTCAAGGAAGTTTTTTTTTTGTTTGTTTGTTTTGAGGTAAGGTAGTAAGGTAGACAGGATAAAGGGTAAGATAGACAGGTTCTGGTAAATCCCTGTAGGAATGAATATCCCAATGAAGGTAACAAGCTTCCTTGTTTATAGAGAAAGGCAGATGGGTGTACAAGGAGACACTTGAGAACAAGTGTATTTTCCCTACTTAGGGGACAGAAGATTTTTAAAACAAAAAGGGCAAGCTGGTTACAATGTAAAGAAAAGAAAATGAGGTAAGAAGAAAAAATATAAGTAATGTAAGTAGAAAAATGTTGAACTTACAAGGATATTCCCAGTCAGGATCTATAATGCTGTTACAGGTTTGCCTCTCCATTTAAAGTAGCATAAAATTATTACCCACAAACTTCTTTTATTATTCATAACTAATCATGAGAAATAAGAGAATATTCCTGCCTATACCATTTTAGGTAATTTAAGAAATAGAAGAAGAATTAACAAGGCAGAAATTAATTATTCTCTGAAAATCAGTACTTATTCTTGGAACTTTTCATGTATTTGACTGTATCAATATCTCTAGGATGTAAAAGTTAATATAAAAAAGTTAAGTTTTGTTACTTAAAATGAAAGGAGAAAATGAAAAAAGCAAATTTTCTCAGATTTTATTCTACAACTACCCATATATTTTGGGATTATAAAATTGAAATAAGTGTGTTTGACCTTTTTAGATGTTATTCTCTTTTAATAGCATTTTTCTTTGTTGATCTTTTTGTCATAATACTCAGTTGCTTCAAAATTAAATTTTAAGTAATGAATTATGAATCTTTATATAGATATTTTCATGTGTATTGGATAATATATAGCTGGACAGAGATAAATAGGAAGACAGAAGAATGCAAATCTAAAAATACCCTGGGACCTAAAACAAGAGAGGATAAAATATTTAGAAAAAATAAAACACTTAAAAAACAGTATTCATTAAGTCATTATTTTGTAAAGACTAAATTCTCTCAGATTCTATTTATACATGTTAAAGATTGATTTTGGAAAGTAATAAATAGCTAATCTAGTACCCAAGACATCTTTTTTAAAGAGCTGTTGGGATATTCAGTACATCAAACACTTCTGCCATTCCTGATCCAATCTGAGCTATACTATATTAAGGAAACTCAGATGGTAAACTGAATAATAAAGCAATAATTTTTTGAATAGTGCTTGCAATGGTAGATAAACCAAAGGACTGACAACTATACCTCAAACAACACTGTTCCAGCCATTTTTGTTTGTTTCTGAGCATTATGTTTAATCTCCTTATTTAGAAATTCTTCAAAAGGAAACATTCTATTTTTAAAGGACAAGTCATATCTATCTTTTGTTGTAGATGATGATTTGATTCAAGATTTCTTGTGGATGGACTGCTGCTGTAAAATTGCAGACAAGGTAAATTTAGTAACAATGTAGTCATTAACAGCATTTTTATATTTTTAGACCATTAGAACTTGAATGAAATCTTATAAGAATTTCATATTACGTTTAGGAAAGGAACTACCTTGTACTGCTTCTTCAAAGTGGAATCCTTACACATTAATTTTTTGAAATTAGCATATACTATAGGTTAATTCTCTATTTCAAGGAATTATAGAATATTACTGATTAGATTTAAAAGACCTTACGACTATATCTGTTTGATTGAAAACAAGAAACAGTATAGACTTAATATGTTTTGACCAGAATTATTACCATTTTTCAGGGTGTAGAGAAAGAATATTCTGAGATTCATTCCACTAACGCAGTCTATTACACATTTTAATAGTTTGTAAGTAACTTAGATAAAACAAATCCCAAAAATCTTGTAGAGCAAAATTAGTTTATCATGTTGTGTATTTAGGAATCAATGTTTCATAAGAAAATTATGCTAACTTGCATTCTAGGGATTGTGATGTTTCTATACCCTAAAGATTTAGCTGAACAGTTACAATTTCAACTTTGTAAATGCCATTTTAGACCAGGTAATCATATCGGAAAATTTGGTATGACTTCACATCACACTTCCTGTGCCAACTGATAAAAAAGGGAATGAATGGAAAACTAGCTTATGATTAAATACCCACCAAGTTAATACTGATATGAACTTTTTTAAATTTCAGGTTTAAGGTAACAGATAAAATTGGAGAATCTTTTTTTTAAGTTTGGGAAATTTCAACCATACATAACTTAGGGTAGAGATGAGAACAAAGACCTTCCGTGTGCCTATCCCACTGTAACAATCAAGTATTGACCATCTTTTTTTTTTAAATCCTTACTGGAGGATATGTTTATTGATTTTAGAGAGAGAGGTAAGGAGAGGGAAAGAGAGAGGCAGACAGAAACATTGATCAGTTGCCAGCTTTGGTGCAGGCCCCAACCAGGAATTGGACCCCCAACCTAGGTATGTGCTCTGACAGGGAATCAAACCCACATCCTTCTGGTCTTCAGGATGGCATTCCAGCCAACCGAGCCACGGGCCAGGGTCTTGGACTATTCTTGTTTCTCCCAATCACTTTCCCCAAAAGCAAATCGCAGGCATCCTAATATCTTATCCGTTAAGTGTTTCAAGATGTATCTCTAGAACATGGTATCTTATTAAACATCATCACCATGTCACCAACACTTTTAAAAATTAATGGTACTGCCTTAATATCAAATATCTAATTCATGTAGCGTTGTTTTAAACTTTATGATTCTAAGGCATTACAGTAATGAAATTTGTTGGACAGCAGGGGGCAGTGCTTTTAAACTAACTAACCAGGAGCACTGTATTTTAACACTATTTCAAGAGTCCTCTACTGAAAATTACATTAAAAACTTGGAATTTTTTTTATGGCCAATCCTATGAAGGTAGGATGAATAGGCATTTTATGAGAAAGAATCTGATACATCAGTATTATAACTTGTTTTTAAGTTAACAGCCAGAACCTGGCATAGTGTGTAAATACCAGGCTAGATAAGTGTCTTTTTAATAATAAATTTAAAACACTTTTCTTCAATGAAAATAAAGCCATGTTATCCTAATGTTTTGGAGTTATTTTTAAAAGATTATGTTAAATAGTGAATATGAATGTCTGTAACTAAAAGAATTCAGGGGGAAAATTGTATATACACATACATCAGGCCAATGTGGCAACATATTAACAATTAGTGAGTCTAAGTGTAGGATGTACATTTATTTATTTTATGATATCTCTATATATTTGAAATTTAAGATAGGAAAAAAAATGGGTTTTGGTTATAAAAATCTTGGCAATAAAATTTAGGAGTTCATTCTAGTTACAATCTTAGTCATGATATAAATGATTATGAATTATTTCTTACTGTTCACATGGATTACAGGAAGCCAAAAAATAAGGACTCAAATAGGTAATTCTATAAGAATAAATAATGCTTAATTGTTTTAGCCTATTGTTCTTAGAGGTAACTATTTTAAAGTAGTTTTACTTATGAAAGCAAAACATTAATATTAACTTTTAATTTTTTCCCTATAGTATCTTTTGGCTATGACCTTTGTTTATTTCAAGAGGGCTAAATTTACTATAAATGAGCATACAAGGATAAATTTCTTTATTGCTCTGTAAGTATGCTTTCTATTAAGTGATTTTTTGTGGTAATTTTTTATAATATATATGATAATTTATTTAACACAGCATGTTTTAAACCTCATATATATCTTTGAATAGACCTTCCTATATAAAAGCTGTACATTTTTTACTTTGACAGAATATTTTATGTTTTTGCTTTCTGCCTAAGATTTATTATTAAGTATTCCACTTGAATTTGATTGTACTTTTTATATTTTTCAGAGTGTTTCATATAAATTGTCCCAAATTTTCTTCTTTTGGACTTTTTTTTTAAGCCAGGATGTTTTGTTTGAAATTTCAAGTTAATATATAATAAAAAATCATTATCGTCATTGTTCTTTCACATTGAACAACTTGCAGAAAATGCTCTGGACATACTCATTGTGGATTTCTGTCTATAACATAGGAATTATTCATATCTGATACCTATAGTGTCCTCTCATTGTTTCATTTAACACATTGTACTTTGACCAAGGCATATTGTTTTCCAGTTCTTCCACTGACTTTGTATTAGACAGTTTATACTAGTTTTGTCTATTAAGTGGTCTTAATGATATGGCTTTTCAATCTGTAGGTCAAAATTCTGCTAGAATCAATGTAAATTAAAAATATGTATCTCAGTCTCAAAACCTGTTCTACCCAGAGCCTGGATATAGTACTGCAGTTGAAAGTGTATGAATATAATTTGAAGTACTTAAATAAAGAACTACATATAAAAATATTTAAGGTGAATACCACAACTGTTACAACTAAAGGATAATTATTTACTCAAAGTCTCTTTAGTTCAGACTCAAAGGATTTGATCTCCGCATGTTTTCAGGAAACACATTTCCTCATGCATGGGGAAAAATAAATTCAGTATAAAATTTGGTGATAATTGCTAAATTGAGGGAATACAATAGTATTAGTTAATACTGAGTATTGTTACAAGGCACCACAAAAGTTTTTATAAGCTCATTTAATCTTCACTATGAGATACATTTTTCAATTATCCCCATTTTACAGATAGGGAAATTATGACTCAGATTAAGCACTTTCCAAGATCACAAGTTAGTAAGCATCAGAGCTGGGGCACATATTCATGTGTGACTTGCCAGTGGCCAAATTCAGCCATTGACCACTAGCTATACTGCTGTTGACATGTCTCTTAGTATTGCATTGTATTTGTATGTTGGTGCGGTATCTATTTTGTAGATTTTTTTTTCTCATCTGAAAATTAACAACAAACCAAAAGAAGCTTTAGTTTAAGTCTTACTAGATCTCTGAAATTGGATTTGTTTGACTTTTTTAAAAAAGTTATTATCAGTAAAGCACTGTATCACCTTACATTATGAGGTAGTCTGTGAGGTTGTATTACATGTTGTATTGTAAGCTTCATATTAAAAATAACATGAATTAAAATTTTATATATATTTTTGTATAGTCTGACTCAATAGTTGTTCTCCGTATTTTCTCAATTAGTCACAATTCTAACTCAAGTTCTATTCGTTTCTATATATTCTTTTAACACTGAACTCAATTATCACTCTTCCTTATCTCTTTTACAGTTATTTGTTTCACACTCAGTTGCCTCTTTGACTTGACTATAGGCTCTTTAAGGGCAAGGAGCATATATCTTACCTGTTTTGCATCCTTACCTTTTTTGTATTGCTAACATACAAGAGGTTCTTAATTCTTTATTTGAATAAACATAATTAACTATTGTGCAAAAAATCTGGACTCTGCTCTAAGGAAATCTTAACTATTTCAAATTGGAAGGGAACTTATATGATGCAGATATTTCAACACACTGAACCTGAAAAATTGTTAATCTAGAGTAGAATCATCATAGTACATTATAGATTTTCCACATTTCACTTAGTAAGTATGAAAGGGACCAATCTCCCATTCTATCTTCCCTTTACTAAGAATGATTAGGAAGCCCTGGCTGGTGGGGCTCAATGGATTGAGTGCTGGTGTGCAAACCGAAAGGTCACCGGTTCGTTTGATTCCCAGCCAGGGCACTTGCCTGGATTCTGGGCCAGGTCCCCAGTTGGGGGTGTGCGAGAGGCAACTGATCAACATTTCTGTTATACGTTGGTGCTTTTCTCCCTGTCTTTCTCCTTCCCCTCTCTCTAAAAGCAAGTAAATAAAATCTTTAAAAAAACTATCAGGGATACTAAAAGTAAGAAGTTACTTTAGGTAACTTTACAGAGGACAGGATTTGAGTCATGTAACTAAATGGGCTTAACAATAAGGTGCTTTATAATAAAGTAACATTAATATATGTACAGTTATTTTAAGGAAGGATAAATAATATGTAGATACTCATTTTATAATTAATGTAACTAAATATGATTATGTACAAGATTTTAAAAAGTACATAAGAGGGTATGCAATTAAGAGTAAGTCTTCTTATCTCAAGACCTTGGCCTCCCTCCTCAAGGACAATTAACTGTTTCATGTGTATCTGTCTAGAAATAATTTTCAATACATGAACCAGTATGTATATTACATGAATAGAAGGGTACTCTGTCCTTCTGTACCTTTTAAAAATTTTAATGTGAAATATGTACAAAAGAGCACATGGTATGTGTAGCTATAGTTCATTTTTATTGCAGAATAATATTCTATTGTTGCTTATATATTTGACTTTTTTCCTACCATCTTGTTCTATACTTTCTGTATGTCTCATTTTTACCTCTTTCTTCTTTCTATTCCATTGTTATCTATTTTTTTGTTGAGATTTTTAAATTTTTATTTTCTGATACCTTTTTTGCCTTTACTTGTTCAAATGCTATGCAGTCTATATCTATTCTTTTAGCAATTACCCTAGTTATTTTTTAATTAATTAATTAATTAATTTATTATTTTAGAAAGGAAGGAAGGGAGAAAGAGAGGGAGAGAAACATCAATGTGCAAAAGTTAACATCAATCAGTTGCCTCTCACATGTTCCCAGTTGGGGACCTGTCCAGCAACGCAGGCGTGTGCCCTGACTAGGAATGGAACTGGTGACCTCTTGGTTCGGTTCGCAGGCCAGTTTGCAGGCCTGTGCTCAATCCACTGAGCCTTACCAGCCAGAGCACCCTTGTTATTTTTAATCACACAACCTTAAGCATTTTAATGCCAATCATCTCCTTTCCCAACTTATATTTTCTTGTTTTGCAATTCTATAGTTCTCTCTGATGCCCAGAAAGGATTGTTGTTTTATACATTCAACGTTTGTCTATATCTACACACATATTTATGTCTTTGCTTCCTATTCCTTCTTGTATCTCAGACCTTCCACTTAGGATCATTTGTCTTCCTTTCTGACTGCTTTTAAGACCTCTTTCTTTGTGTTTATCTATTAACTCCAATATCTTCAAACTTCAGGGTCTGTTTCTCATAATGATGCCTTAAGTGATTTGTAATTTTTTTTATTGTAAGTTCATTTTTCTTGGAAAGTCATCAAAGGGGGCTTGTAAATGTTTCCAATGGGAAATCTGCTCCATTCTCATTTCTGTTCTATGTTATTCAATTTACTTTTTTTTTCCTGACTGCTTTTAAGATTTTCTCTTGATCACTCATTTTGAGCAATTTTATTATGATGTGTCTTGGTGCTTTGGGCTTCAAGGAGCTTCTTTGTGGGTTTATGATCTTCATCAAATTTATAAAATTTTTAGCCGTTTATTTCTTCAATGTTTTTTCTGTTCACTGCCCTTTATGGACTCCAGTTTCACCTTTATTAGGCTACTTGAAGTTGTCTCATGGCTCATTGATACTGTTTATTATTTTTGTTTATTTTTCTCTGAATGTTTAATTTTGGATAGTTTATACTGTTATGTATTCAATGCACAAATCTTTTCTTCTGCAATATTTAATTGGCTATTAATTCCACAGAGTATATTTATCATTGTACACATAGTTTTCATCTCTAGAAGTGTGTCATCTTATCTTTTTGAACATCTGGAATAGTTACAACCATTTTAATGTTCTTGTATTTTACTTCTACTATGTGTGTCAGTTTGATTAATTAATTGTTCTCCTTATTATGGGTCGTGTTTTCCTGCTTCTGTGTATGCCTGATTCCATTCAAGCAGTTGTCAGGACACTGGTTTCCATTTGTGTATAATGACAATACCTGATCATGGCGAAAGACCATAACAAAGGATTAGAGGGAACAGTGCCTAACATTTACCCAGGGTTGGAAGTAGTGTCTGTTCCAGCCAGACTGAAAAATCTCATAACTCACCGGATGTTGAGTAGAGTATTCAGGAAGGTCTTGCCTCACTAGCCCCAGACTGAATATTGCTCCAGATCTATCTACCAAATCATAAACGTAAGACTTGAAAGGATTAGACTGTTTCCAAGTAACTGCATCCCAGAACAAAGCTCAAGATTTATAGGAATACACAAATATTCAGAACTTATTAAGGAAAATTCACTGTATCTCTATTTTCGACCTATTATTTAATTATGAGTAAGGCTGAACATCTTTTAATGTGTTTATACTGGTTTGCATTTTTTTTGTGAACTGCCAATTCCTGTCCTTTACCTATTTCTCTTTTTTTTGAGTTGTTGGTCTTCTTTGTTAGGTACCTGGCTAATACAGTAGAAGAAGATGAAGAAGAATCCAAATATGAAATATTTCCATGGGCTTTAGGGAAAAACTGGAGAAAATTGTTCCCTAATTTCTTAAAGCTAAGGGATCAACTCTGGGATAGAATTGACTATAGGGCTATTGTAAGCAGGCGATGCTGTGAGGAGGTAAGATTTTAACATATTGTATGTATGTATATAATCTCTGTTTTGTGTTCATAGAATTTTCCTTGTCTTATTTTTTAATGTGCTTCAAACATTTTAGTTTTTGTATATATAAGGGTAGACCATTAACTTGATGGCTGCCATGAATACAACTTGTGTATTATGATGTTGATGTTTTAATTTTATACCACAAGAATTTAAAATTAGCATTTGTGTTTTTCAGAGCAGCCTACTTCTGTAGTATTTTTATTTAGTGTTTAGTTTCTCTTATTTAAAAAAACATCAGTATATTGAACAAGGATAGTGCACACATTTCAAAATATCACTGGAGTTGAATAATAATTTTCATTAAATAAATTATATAAAATTTCAAGTCCCTAAGACTGAAATATGAATTGCATGACATAAAATTTATATAAATTTAAATATGTTTAGAAAAAATTCCTTTTTTTATATAGAACACATAGTTTCCTTGATGCCAGATTTTATTAAGATGAAGCAGAAAGACACTAAAAATTAAAAGATTGATTATTTTATCTAATGATCTAGTGTTCAATAAAGAATAAAATTAATGTTTCAAACTAAAAAATATAATAGAGTAGAAAATTAAATGATGGTAGTGAGCACTGTAAGCCAGTACTAGTTCAGAAAAGTTTGGTAAATGTGAGCCAGATAATACTAGACTTAAATGAAGTCATATCCATTAAATAGACTAAATACCAAAACAGACAATAGATTAATGTCAAACCTGAGGGAGAACTCTGGGGTGTGTCACAACTCTCTCCAGAACTAATCATGTTAATTATATTTATTAAGGAGATAAATATATAGCAAGTATGCATATTTGTAGATTAAAATAGGAGGATTCTTGAATGTTGGGGAAAATGCAAGGATTCAGAGATAACTTAGAAAACTGTGCAGCACGCCAAGTCTTTACAAGATTAAATTCAATAGAAAAATATTAAAAATTGGGTATATAAGGTGCCAATTGGGTATTTAAGGATCCTCATTAATGGAAGGGTTTACATGACTCATTCCAATTACAGGGCATTGAAAGAGTCCTGTATTATTTTTGTTACTATCTCTCCATGTCAAGAGGGGTAATTTGTGCACCTGTTGCCATCCTTGCACGTGACAGTCCAGGCAAGGCCTTATTTGAACACTCACATTTTTTTCAATGCAAACACTTCAAGCCCCATGGAACATTCAGCTAGGAGCATGGAGGGGGCAGGAGACAACACCCATCTCATGGCAGGTTGCTCACCTATTCCTAAGATATGATGACCAGTATTTTTTAAATTGCAACAACTTTAATTTATACTATTGGAGCTGCAATTACCACAGTTGCTGCCACCAGACTATTAAAGAGTCAGAGAATGGAGTGACTTAATGGTGCATGTGTAAAAGACTAAAAAGTTTCAGGCAGCTATAAACTCAGTTGTGTAATGGGTTTACAGAAAAGTTTAGTTTCTCAAGGATTCAACATGGAGGCCTAACAAATCTCTCCACTAATTTTAGATCTATGTATCAAATTTCCTATTTATATTTCATTATCTAGTAGATACCTCAAACTTAATGTACTAAAAATTGAATTTTGATTCCCCCAAATAGACTTTCAAACCTGCTCCTCCTGCAATCTTCCACATATGAATGGTAACTTCATCCTTCTAGTTTAGGCCAGAAAGCTGTCACCCTAGACTTTTCCTTGCATCCATATCTTAAAAAAATAACTGGTCCTGGCTGGTGTGGCTCAGTGGATTGAGCACCAGCCTGCAAACCAAAGGGTCACTGGTTTGATTCCCAGACAGGGTACATGCCTAGGTTGCGGGCCAGGTCCATAGTAGGGGGTACTCCAGAAACACATTGATGTTTCTTTCCCTCTCTTTTTCCCTACCTTCCCCTCTCTAAAAATAAATTTTAAAAATCTTAAAAAAAAAATCCAGCCTCTGCCCTTACCTGTGTGGCTCAGTTGGTTGAGCTTCATCCTGCTCTCTCCACTCCAGCCATAGTGTCCTCCTTGCTGTTTCTCAAACACACCAAGGGCACTCCCATTTCAGGGTCTTTGTATTTGCCATTCCCATTACCTAGAGTGGTTTTCCCCCAGATATTAGTATATTTTACTTTCTCACTTCATTCAGGACTCTGCTTAAATGTTAATCTCAGAGAAACTTTTCCTTACTACCCTATATTGAATAGTGTCTCACTCAATGAAATACGTAGAAGAGTTCACAAATAAACCCTCACATTTATGTTCAGTTGAATTTCGACAAGGGTATCCAGAAAATTTAATAGGGAAAGAGTAGTCTTTTTAAGAAATGGTACTGGGACAACTAGGTATCCACATGCAGAAGAATGCAGTTGGACCCCTACTTTATAGCATATGTAAAAGCTAATTAAAAATGGGTCAAAGACCTAAATGTAAGAACTAAAAACTATTAAAACATAGGGGCAATTCTTCATGACCTTGGATTAGGTTTCTTAGATATGATACCAAAAGCACAAGCAACAAAAGAAAACACTAAGTGGACGTCATTAAAATTTAAAATGTCTTTCAAAGGACAACATCAAGAAAGTGAAGATAACCCACAAAATGGGAGAAAATTTTTGCAAACCATCTGATAAGGAACTTGTATCTAGAATATAAAGAGGGTTTACAACTCAATAATAAAAAAAACCCTAATTTTAAAATGTACAAAGGATCTGAATAGGCATTTCTCCAAAGAAGATATACAAATGGACAAAAAAAAAGTGCAGGAACAGATGATCACTATCATTAGCAATCAGAGAAATGCAAAATCAAAACCACAAGAAGGTATTACTTCACATCCACTAGGATGGCTATCATAAAAAGACAGGTAATTACAGGTGTTGGTAAGAATGTGGAGAAATTCAAGCCCTCATACACTTCTGTTGGGAATGTAAAATGGTGTAGTTGCTTTGTAAAACAGCCTGGCAGTTCCTCAAAAAGCTAAACATAGAATTCCACATGACCCAACAATTCTTCTACTAGTTACTCGGTTAAGAAATGAAAGCCATGTCCATAAAAAACTTGAACACAAATGTTCACGGAAGCATTATTTATAATAGTCAAAAGCGGAAACAATCCAGATGTCCAACAGCTAATGAGTAGATAAACAATGATATATTCATACAGTGATATATTAGATATAAATTGGCAATTAGAAGGAATGAAGTAACGTGCTACAAGATGGATGAAACATGAAAATGTTATGCTAAGTAAAAGAAGCCAGTCACAAAGGACCACACATTGTATGATTCTTATTTATATAAACTGTCCAGAATACACAAATTGAAAGAGATAGAAAGTAGGTTAGTGATTGCCAGTGGCCGAGGGAGGGAGGGAGGAAGGAATGGGATGTGACTGCTTTCTTTATGGAATGGTGAAAATGTTCTAAAACTGACTGTGGTAATGGTTGTGCAACTATGAGTATACTACAGGCCATTAAACTGTACTCTTTAAATGGGTGAATTGTATGGTATTTGAGTAATATCTCAATAAAGCCAGTAAAGTAGCAAATAGTACCTCCCACTATTATTATGTATTCCTTTTCCTTTTTTTCTTCATAGCACTTAATCATCATATAACATATTCTGTTTTACTTATTTATCTTGCTAATGTCTATTTCCCCTACCTGTATATAAAATCCAAGAGGGCAGGGTCTTTACTTCATTCTTATTATATCTCCAGTGCCTAGAACAGTGCCTGGCATATAGTAGATACTCAGTAAATACTGCTGACTGACAGAATGATTGAGACTCAAGGCTTCCAGTTCTTTTTCATACCTGTTTACGCATGAAAGAGAAAAAAAACTTTAAAACACTTTTTCATGGAGTTCACTCGGCACTTACCCTAGTGGTAGATAGGCTTTTTTTCTCTTCCAACCAGATATACTTGAATTGAATCATGTTGATGTATAGGAAAGGCAACTACCTAGTAAGATTTTATCCAGTTCTCTTAAGTATTCATTTAACAGCTAATTTATGACTAAGACATCAAGTTCAGTGGTTATTATTAAAGAAGTATTACATCATCCTTGCCCTGAAGTTTGCTGCATTAAAGTAGCAAGACACACTTAGAAATTTAGTTAAGTATTCTATGCATTTGTTATTGAGAGCCTGGTACTGACATACTGCCAAGCCAATTCTTTTTTTCATATTGTACAATAAAAGTGTTATGATAGTAGCTACTAACTGGTTTGCAATAATTATACTCTACATTTGCATTATGCTTATAAATTCATAAATGTTTTCATATATCCTCACAAAAATGCCTGCGAGGGTTGTAGTCTTCTCATTTTAAAGCTGGTGAGACTGAGGACCAACGAGGTTGAGATTTACTGAAGATCTTACACTAATTGTCAGAGTCAGGACTTGACCTCACAACTAAAGACTTCACAATGTTCTGTTATCTCTTACATCTGGCCTCCACTTCTCATTAACTAGTTTAGAAAATGCACTTACTTCTATTACGTTATTTTATCTCAGGAGTTAAACAGCATAAGTATTCTCCATTTTACAGATGAAGAAACTGACATAGAAAGGTTGTGACTTGTCCATTGTCATTCAGTTACTAAGTAGCAGGGCCAGCCAGTAATTAAATTTGGTACCTTTTCCGTTATACACCATCAAAAGAACTTATTCTCTCCTTTGAGATAATGTGAATTTTTAAATTTGTCTCCTATTATTTAAACCCTGGCTGCTGCAGAGAAACTAAGAGCCAACTTGTATCCTTAATCACATTAACTCTTAACCTTTACTACTGGCATGTCTGCTTTCCCACTTTAGGCATATTTGCCCTTTTGGGTCCCATTACATGAGAAAAAAATTCATTTGCTCTTTTATTTAAACTGTCTCAAAGCCTTTTTTTGGAAAGAGATGAGGAATGATTAAATTGAAAAATGTATGTAGGGCCCTGGTTGGTGTGGCTCAGTGGATTGAGTGCCTGCCTGTGAACCAAAAGGAAACCAGTTTGATTTCCAGACAGACCACATGCGTGGGTTGTAGGCCACGATGGGCCATGAACCCAGTAGGGGGCATTCAAGAGACAACCACAAATTGATGTTTCTCCCCCTGTCTTTCTCCTTTCCCTTCCCCTCTCTCTAAAAATAAACGAATAAAATCTCTTCTAAAAAACGAAAAATGTATGTAGGGAGTCTCAAAAAAAGAATAAAGAGTATTTCAACCTACTTATTCTGATACTATCTTCTTAGAACCAGTTTATCTTTTTGGACATCAGCTCCTCTGAGGTGGAATTTATTTAGGTTGGTGATAGCTTAATTTCTAGATTGGTTCACAGATATGGAGAATGCCGATCTGATGAGAAAGAGTTAGACTCCAGTAGCAGATTTATCAAGAGGAAGTTTATTCTTGTTATGTACTATGGCCTACTTGGCAGGATGTCATCATAGCTGATTTCTCTGTCAGCTATTACTTGATTCCAGATTAGGAACTTGGAAAGAAAGCAGTGATGTGATTTAAGCACTGCTATGAAGAAAATAATCCAATGACAGTGTGCAGAGAGGCCCAATATAGGGGAGGTGCTGGAGAGTGCTACAAAAAGAGCGATGGGTTCCATAATGCAAACTGGTTTATGAGGATGATAAAGAATTTGGTATTAGATATAAATTTAAGGTGATAATTGGATAATTAAGAGAATTGTCAATAGGTATGTGTAAAGTGAGTCATAATGTTCAAGTGATGTTTAAAGCTTGGTAGAGAAGAGATCCAAGGTGACAGTAATATCAATGCTTTTGATCACTTGTCAGGCACTGTTCCAAGTGCTACACATGTAATAACCCACAATTCTTATAGCTAGCTATGTAATCCCAGGTGAGGAAATTGAAGCATAGAGAAGCTCTATGACTTCTCCAAGGTCACACAATCAGTAAAGCAGCAGAGCTTTATTCAAACCCGGCAGTCTGATGGTAGTGCTGTTAACACTTATACTACCTCTTGAGGTTACAGAGAAGTAGATATACATAGAAAAAAGCCCATAAGGCCAAGTATTGTATTTTTTAAACGCCCACCTAAGGCACACAAAAAAAATCACTAAAAACTACAGGAGATACAGTAAAAACTAGGATAACATTTCTTGTAGGTCAAATACCAATGCTTCAGAGTAGTCACTTTCATAGAATCCTAGAATCTGATGACTGTAAGTGAACTGTTTTCTAATATCTAATAGACACCTGATGGCCCAGAGAGTTATGTAATTTACCTAAGGTCATAGAGCTAATAGAATTAAGACAAAAATCCTGCCCTTTTGACCCTGGTACAATATTGTTTTTAATTCACCGTTGTTATCACAATAACATTCTAGTTGTGTATAAAATGTTTAAAACACAGTATATATTTAAAAGTGAACAAGTACGTGTGCATGCATTGTTCTAGCCGAATTAGCATGTGGAGAGACTATGATGCTTAGCTTATTGCAGAATGAACAATTTACCAAACCTTCTTTGTACCCTTTACTTCATATATCTGCTTTTGTCACTAGATTTTGCTATAAGATTCTTACAAAAATAATATTATTGAAGGTTGATAATATCAGTGGTCTCTAGTTTTTAATTTTTCTCTGTCATTCAAAATACTTAAGACTGTATAATATTGTGTGGAGGGCATTTAATAGAGAGGTATATGAGAGACTATTCCTGCACAAAGGGGACTTTCAGGAGGAAAGGTTACATGCATGAAAAGATATCTGAGTACTAGCTACTTATATGCTACAAGTCCTAATACAGCATTAACAATAAAACTGAACAATCTGAAAGCTGGAGTTTTTAGAAAGGTGGGAGTTATGCTGAGCATTGAGGGAAAGATAACACTAAGACAAAGGGAGAGAACACTGCAGACGTGGTAAGTAAAGCTATTGAAGTGTTGAGGAGAAATAATAGATAAATACAGAAGGAGTGAGAAATTCTGGTATTCTACGTTCTCACTTAAATAGCTCTGAATCTAGTTTTATATTGTTAAAGGTATGTGTATAGAGTTAGCACCTTTATTTACTTCTATCTTTTTAAATACGTATAACTTTATTACATGTCTTTGGTTGAAAACTTTTTTGAAGGGTTTAAAAGAAGTAGATTATAAAATAAATTCATCCTAAAGTATACTTTTTAAAAATTGGCATAGCTAACATTCCTTATGTCATTTATCTCAGGAAGGCTACAGTAATCCCACTTTCTTGGGGGACTGGTCTCAATCTAGGGGTTTCAAGGTATTCATTTTTTAACAGCAAAAGCTGTTTTTCTTTCCAAATAAAAATTTACACACAATCCCCCAAATTGAGCTTCTCTGCCTGCTCTGTTTCCTTTAGCCCCTCTTAAAATCCCCCAAATAGTCTGTGAAACCTCAGGGCTCCTCAAAACAGTTTGAAAATCACTGATCTAGACAATAGGACACTGTCTAATACTTAGATTCTACAGTTTTCATTAGCTGTGGGTCACTGATAACTGCAACTAAACATTTTTGCTTAGAAATAACATACTAACATTCTGCTTAGGAGTTTCAGACATCATGAGGTCAGTATGTAAATACCTAGCTTGGCTTAACTAGCTAGCATTTGTCAGTTGTTTGTGATGTGATAGATTTTATACCTAGCTAATCCTCAGAACAGTCCTATGAGGTAAATAGGATCTCCACTTCAGATATAAAGAAATTGAGCCTCTGAAAGTGTAAGTAACTTGCCCAGTATCATGCAGCTAGCATGTGGGAGTCAGGATAAGAAACTACGTCCATCCTGACTATAAAGGCAGCGTTTCATCTAACAAAGCTTAGACAACAATGCCTGACATGTAGTGAGGAATCTTAAGTGCTTTATAAATAATTTATGTAATCCTCACAACAACCCTCTAAAATAGACACATTCTGTTCATGTTACAGATGAGGAAACTGAGGAACAGAAAGGTTAAGTAACTTACCTGTATTCTTTCTACATCCCTTGCCATAATTGCAAACATTTTAAGATTAGTCTAACATATATAGTTGGAAACCTCAATTAAATGTATTTTCAGCTCTGCACTCCAAAGCTAATAATTGTTTTGGGATAACTATATTGTCTTTTATGAACTTAAAGCATTCAGAATTTAAAAATGCAAGAAGGTTGCTTCAGTCCTATTTCCTATTTTCAATAATTTAAATACTTTCGATTATTGTCTTAAGGATCCAAGCAATGAATCACTTTATAGACAAATACTGCCATATCTGGAGATGCTTTTCTTTTTCAACATCAGTGACTTAGATTTTTTTTTAAAGATTTATTTTATTTAATTTATTTATCTTCAGAGAGGGAAGGGAGGGAGATAGAGAGAGAGAGAGAGAAACCAATGTGCGGTTGCTGGGGGTTCTGGCCTGCAACCCAGGAATGTACCCTGGCTGGGAATCGAACCTGTGACACTTTGGTTCCCAGCCCACACTCAATCCACTGAGCTATGCCAGCCAGGGCCGTGACTTAGATTTTTACATTTAGTTTTAGAGATAGCTGTTCTTAAGTTATAGTTTTTGTACTTAATTTTACTAAATTCTAAAAACTCATTAAAATTCTAAAAGAAAGCTTTCCACTATAGGTTATGGCCATTGCTCCAACCCATTACATATGGCAACGAGAACGCTCTGTGCATCATAGTGGAGCTGTTAGAAACTACAACAGAGATGAAGTTCAACTGCCCCGGGGACCTAGTGCCACACCGGTAGATTGCTCCCTCTGTGGTAAAAAAGGAAGATATGTTAGACTGGGATTGTCTTCGTCATCATCTTCATCCAGTGATACAGTACAGGTGATGGAAAAACATTCTCAGGAATCACACAACCCATTCTCAATGGGCATGATAGTTGATCCTTCTCAAGCTTATAGCTATTCTCAAGGTATGATTTAGTGATATGTTGGAATTAGGTTTATCAAGTTTTTAATAAATCCAAGTTAGTTATTGACCTGTAGTCAGTCCTTAACAGTCAGGGAAACATAATAACATATATTGCAACGCTGTGAATTAAATCAGTATTGAGAGTTTTCTCCTTTTCAGTTACTTTTTGTCTTGTGTTACTGTTTTTGTTGCTACCTTACCTAAACTAAAAGATTTTTAACGTGATTTATGTTAAAGTGAAATTTAATTACCATGGGTCCCAAGTATTTTAGGTAGTAAGTATTTTAAGAGCATTTGAAATGTTTTTTATTTTATTTTTTGTTTATTGATTTGAGAGGTGGGGGGAGACAAAGAGAGAGAAAGAGAGAAGAGAGAAACATTGATTTGTTCCATTTGTGCATTTATTGATTGATATTTGTATGTGCCTTGCCTGGGGATCAAACCTACAACCTTGGTGTATTGGGATGAAGCTCTAACTAACGAAACTACTCAGCCAGGGCTGATATCTTTATTTTATTCAAAAGAAGTTTTAAGAAGCAAATAAATTTACTTATAATTTAATCATCTAGTTTTATCAGTGATTAATTATTGGTTTCCTTCTATATTTTGTGAAATATATTTTATTGATTATGCTGTTACAGTTGTCCCAATTTTTTTTATCTCCTATATCCGCCTCCACCCTGCAACCTCCACACCCCAGCATCCTCCACCTCCCAACCCTTAGTTGACGTCCATGGGTCATACATATAAGTTCTTTGGCTTCTCCATTTCCTATTATTCTTAACCTCCCCCTGTCTATTTTGTACCTACCATTTATGCTTCTTATTCCCTGTACCTTTTTATCCCATTCTCCCTTTCCCCCTCCCCACTGGTAACCCTCCACGTGATCTCCATCTCTGTGATTCTGTTCCTGTTCTAGTAGTTTGCTTAGTTTTTGTTTTTGTTTTTTAGGTTCAGTTGTTGATAGTTGTGATTTGTTGTCATTTTGCTCTTCATATTTTTAACCATCTTCTTTTTCTTAGGTAAGTCCCTTTAACATTTCATGTAGTAAGGATTTGGTGATGATGAGGTCCTTTAACTTGACCTTATCTGGGAAGCACTTTATCTGCCCTTCCATTCTAAATGATAGTTTTGCTGGATAGAGTAATCTTGGATGTAGGTCCTTGCCTTTCATGACTTTGAATACTTCTTTCCAGCCCTTTCTTGCCTGTAAGGTTTCTTTTGAGAAATCAGCTAATAGTCTTATGGGAACTCCTTTGTAGGTAACTGTCTCCTTTTCTCATGCTGCTTTTAAGATTCTCTCCTTATCTTTAATCTTGGGTAATGTAATTATGATGCATCTTGGTGTGTTCCTCTTTGGGTCTAATGTGTTTGGGACTCTCTGAGCTTCCTGGACTTGCGTGTCTAGTTCCTTCACCAGACTGGAGAAGTTTTCCTTCATTATTTGTTCAAGTAAGTTTTCAATTTCTTGTTCTTCCTTTTCTCCTTCTGGCACCTTGTGGTTCGGATGTTGGAATGTTTAAAGTTGTCTCGGAGGTTCCTAAGCTTCTCTTCATTTTTCTGAATTCTTGTTTCTTCATTGTTCTGGTTGGATGTTTATTTCTTCCTTCTGGTTCAAGTCGTTGATTTGTGTCCTGGTTTCCTTCCCTTCACTGTTGGTTCCCTGTATATTTTTCTTTATTTCACTTTGCATAGCCTTCATTTCTTCATTCATTTTGCAACTGAACTCTCACTTCTGTGAACATCCTGATTACTAGTGTTTTGAACCCCACATCAGATAAGTTGTCTGTCTCCTCATCACTTAGTTCTTTTTTTTGGAATTTTGATCTGTTCTTTCTTTTGGGCCATATTTCTTTGTCTCAGCATACCTATTGTGTTGTAAGGGGCAGAGCCTTAGGTATTAGTCAGGGCTGGTAATCTATAGTGCTGCAGTTGTGGCGCTGTATGTGGGGGAGGGGTCAGGGAGGGAACAATGCTGCTTCCTATCTTCCTTGGCTCTCGCCCCACTTTCAGTCACTTCCTCTGCTTCCCACAAGTGGATTGTGCCCTTTCAGGTGCTGATTCTAGGTGAGTGGGCTTGTGTACATTTTAGGACCCCATGGGCCTCTCCAACAGACTCTCTTGTGAGGCTGAGAATTTCTCCCACCGCTGCAACCACCACAGGTTTTTACAGCCAGAGCTTTTGAGGCTTTATTTCCCCATGCTGGGACCCTCAGTTGTGTGGTTTGTCTTCTGCCCCAGTTTTTCCCCCAGCTTATCCACAAGCAAATGTGGGAACTCCCTTCCACTGCCTTGCTGCAAGCCCTCTCCACCCCTCCTACCAGAGTGGAAGCATGTTTCTTCTTTAACTCCTTGGTTGTCAGACTTCCATGCAGTTTGGTTTTCTGGCAGTTCTGATTGTTTTTTGTTCTAAATTGGTTGTTTCCTTCTTTTGGTTGTGCAAGGAAGTGAAATGTTTCTATCTACACCTCCATTTTGGTCTGAACTCTCTGTCTTATCTATACTTTTTTTATTAAAAAAATTAATAGTACTATGTTATAAGGTTGGAAAGGAAACACAGAGGTCCGTTGTCTTACCCCTTCTTTTTCTGTATACTTTTAAATCATTGAGATATAATTGAAATATAACATTGTTTTAGTTTTAGGCGTACAACATGATTTGATGTATGTGTATATTGCAAAATGATTACCACAATAAGTAAAAATTCATCAGCACATAGTTATAATTCTTGTGATGAGAACTTTGAAGATCTATTCTCTTAGCAACTTCCAAGTATCCAAGTATCCAATCCGGTACTGTCGACTGTAGTCACCATACTGTGCATTACGTCTCCAGGGCTTATTTATCTTGTAACTGGAAGTTTGTAGTTTTTGGCCACCTTCCTGCATTTTGCCTGCTCCCCTAACCCCCACCTCTGGAAACCAGCAATAGGTACTTTGAATCTATGAGTTTGGTTTTTTTTTTTATTCCACATATAAGTGAAATCACACAGTATTTATCTTTCTCCAACTTATTTCACTTAGTATCATGTCCTCGAGGTCCATCTGTGTTGTTGAAAATGGCAGGATTTCCTCTTTTTTTTTTTTTTGCTGAATAATTCCATTGCATATATATACCACACTTGAATATTGTAAATAATGTGGCAGTAATCATGATGGTGCAAATGTCTTCTCAAGATAGTGATTTTGTTTCCTTCACACAAGTACCCAGAAGTGATATTTCTGGATCATATGGTAGTTCTATTTTCACTTTTTTAAGGAGCCTCCATATTGCTTTCCATATTGTCTGTGTCAATTTACATTACTACCAACAGCATATAAGGGTTCCCTTTTCTCCACACCCTCACCAATACTACTTCTTATCTTTTTGATAATAGCCATTCTAACAAATGTGAGATATTTCACTGTGGTTTTGATTTGCATTTCCCTGATAATTAGTGATGTTGGATACCTTTTCATATACCTGTTAGCCATTTTTATTTCTTCTTTTGAAAAATGGTCATCTCCTCTGCCCATTTTTAAATCTGTTAGGGTTTTTTTCTGTTGAGTTGTATGAGTTCTGTATATATTTTGAATATTAATCCCTTATGAAATGTATAATTTGCAAGTATTTTTTCCCATTCCATAGGTTCTCTTTTCACTTTGTTGAACATCTCCTTTGCTGTAAGCATTTTAGTTTGATGTCTCACTGTTTATTTTTGCTTCTTTGCTTTTGGTGTCAAGTCCAAAAAACCATTGCCAAGACCTATACCAAGGAGCTTACCTCCTGTTTTCTTCTGAGTTTTATGGTTTCAGATCTTACATTTAAGCCTTTTGCTAGCAGATTTTAGTGCATGGTGTAAGGTACTGGTCCAATTTCACTCTTTGCAGTGTTTCCAACACCATTATCCTTTCCCAATTGTACACATATTCTTGGCTCCTTTGTTATAAGTTAATTGACCACAGACCATAGATATGATGATTTATTTCTGGGTTCTCTATTCTGTTCCATTGATCTCTGTGTCTGTTTTATGCCAATACAATACCATTTTGATTACTATAGCTTTGGAATACTATACACTTTTTCTACATTTCTATTTAAAAATAAATTAGAACCATACCATATCTAGGCCTACTTTTTTTTTTCACTTATCATAAAGCATTTCCCCATGTCATTAGTTTTTGAAAACCTGATTTTAAATCATGATACAAATCATGTATTTGTATTAAATCATGATTTAAATCATGGTACAAATACTGAAATTATTTGCATACTTCATTTTTGTTGGGGTTTAAGTGTCATTGAAGACTATTTTACATTAGAAAATAATCATATAAAGTAGAAATACTTTTAGTCAATCGCACCACAATTTTTAAAAAGATTTTATTTATTTATTTTTAGACAGAGTGGGAGGAAAGGAGAGAAGGAAATATCAGTGTGTGGTTGCTTCTCGCACGCCCCCTGCTGGGGACCTCCCCTGCAACCCAGGCATGTGTCTTGATTGGGAATTGAACCAGCAACCCTTGGATTCACAGGCTGGCACTCATCCACTGAGCCACACCAGGCGGGGCTCAGTCACACCACAATTTTTATTTAAATTATATTTATAAAGCTATAGTATTTCTCTGACATTTTTCATTTTGAAACAGAACCAGAATATTTTACTAGCAGTGATCTTTTTCATGTCTTCTAAAGCCTTTTTTCCATATTTTCAGCCATCTGAAGATAAGACTGGCAGATTTTTTATGGTTCTTTCTAATTCTGCGAGACCCACCTTATTTCAGAATTTCATCTATTTATTTTTACCACATCCTTATAAAAGTGGCCACTGAAGCTTTAGTTAAAGAGAAAATAGACTCTTAAGACTCTTGAAGAAGGTAGGGGTCATGCCTCAGTCATTGTTCCATTTCCTGGCCATAGTAATCACTACACAGATTTGACTGATGGAACACATATTCTATTCCCTTGCAATACCTCCAAGTATAATTTTTATTGGCTCACTCATATTTGAAGATAAATTGGTCTATCATAGGATAAATACGGATTTTCCTTTTAGCTTCCCTCCCACCTCTCCCAACTCCTTTTACCTACACTCTTTGATCCTTATAATAGGTAAGCGCTTGACTTAAGGGAGTTGTAAATGGAACTGTGCTTTCACTCCATTCCTTGATGAAAACCCTGAAGCCCTGGGTTAGGATATATAGGTCCTATACAACAGCAGTCCCCAACCTTTTTGGCACCAGGGACCGGTTTCTTGGAAGACAGCTTTAAAAAAAAAAAAACCACAAAACTTTTTTTTAAAAGATTTCATTTATTATAGAGAGAGGGGAAGGGAGGAAGAAGAGGGAGAGAAACAGATGTGCAAAAAAACCATCCATTGGTTGCCTCTCACATACCACCAAAGGGGCCTGACCTATAACCCACAAGTGCCCTGACCAAGAATTGAACCGGTGATGTTTTGGTTCGTAGGCTGGCACTCAATCCATATAGCCACAACAGCCAGACCAAAGACAACTTTTCCACAGGTGTGAGGATAAGGTGGAGTCTGGAGGCAGAACATAGGCTCTCACCTGCTAACCTTCTGCTGTGGACAGTGGGGTGGGGCAAGGCAGAGACAGGAAGCTAGCTTTGCTCCTAGCAGGTTCCTAACAGGCAGGGGACCTGTACCGGTCTAGGTCCCAGGGCTGGGGACCCCTGCTATACAGGAAAGAACAAGTATTTATTTGTCAGCTGTTTAATTCAAGAATAAATGTAAGATCTTTTGTTTCAGGATGACAGAAGATAGGAAATACAAATAAATTAATTTTGCATAACCTAAACATTTATACTCATTTTCCCTCATTAAGCTTATAAGAGACTAAATTATCTGGGAGGAAGGAGTGCAGAGAGGGGAGGGCAGTTAAGGGTTAACACAATGTTATCTGGAGCAGTGGCCAGTCTTACTGCCTCAGCAGCTGCTGATTCTTCATACTGACCTCTGCTAGCAAAATTTTCTTCCTCCCATGCACATGAGGGTGGTTGGAATCACCTAACAGGTTTTGGTTGCAGAAAATTCAATTCAGTGTGCTCCAGGAGAGACAAAGAGCTGATGCTCTCCTCCAGGCTTTTACACTAAAACTTAGCAATAGATGGTTACCAGTGCTTCATCTTTCAAACACAAGCAACTTCTCACTTTTCAGGTAAAACATGTTTTTCTACTTTTAAAATTCTCTCCACAAAACAAAATGTTCAAACAACAAACTTTACATAAACATGTTTATGACATTTATTTAAAAATTTTTTATTATTTTTAGGGAGAGAGGAATGGGGGAGGGGGGAGAGAGAGATCAATCAATTGATTTGTTGTTCCACTTATTTATGCATTCATTGGCTGCTTCTTGTATGTGCCCTGAATGGAAATTGAACCTGCAACCTTGGCATGTCAGGACAATACTCTAACCAACTGAGCTACCTGGTCAAGGGTATGACATTCATTAAGAGCAAAATATCCTTGATTTTGACAAGGTGGGTAGGGGGAGGGATAGATAAGGCATTCTTTACAAATTTAGATACATCACAATCACCAATCATGTGCTAGGCATATAAAGGTAGTCTCATTTAACACCTGACCTGCCCCACCAAAATCTTTAAGTAGCATTATGACACTCATTTTACTAATGAAGAGACAAACTCATAAAAGTCACAGATGCCAGGTAAAACAACATCAAAATGAAAACAGCAAGATGGGAACCCAGTTCTAGTTGAATACACTGCACATTTTTTAAAAATTCTCACCCGAGGACATTTTTTCGTGTCCTTTAGCAGGGGTGTCATGAGATCCTGTAAACATCATGAGATTTTTTTGTGATCATGTGTAGCAATGTATTTAATGTTTGGCTCAAGACAACTCTTCTTCCAATGTGGCCCAGAGACACCAAAAGGTTAGAGAGCAAGGGAGAGAGGAAGGGAGAGAAACACTGATGGCAGAGAGAAGCCTCGATTGGTGGCCTCCCAAGTGCACCTGGACCAGGGATCATACTGCAACCTAGGTATGTGCCCTGATTGGACATAGAACAATGCTCCAGCCAACTGAGCCACACTGGCCAGGGCCGCACATTTCTATACTAACTAAACTAGCTGACCCTTAAACAACAGAGGCTTGAACTGCACAGGTCCACTTACATGAGGCTTTTTCTTTCAATAAATACAGTAAATGTATTAACACTTTCTTTTCTCTAGTGTAATAATACAGTATATAATACATATAATATATAAAATGTGTTAATTGACTGTTTGCTATTGGTAAGGCTTCCAGTCAACAGTATATAATTAGTACAATCCACTGATTCTTAACCCTGGAGTGAAAACAGTTGAATTGTGGATGCGAAACCTGCAGATAAAAAGGGCCAACTGTACTTTTTTTGGGAAATTAAAAGTTATAAACAGATTTTCGACCATACGGGGGCTTGACCCCCTAGCCCCCATACTGCTCAAGAATCAACTGCACAGTGATTCTCTTCACCTTATACTGTCTGAAGCCTTAAGACACCTAGGCTAGTCCATCTGAAACGTGGATATACATTTTATGTATTACCTAAGGACTCCTCAGATTTTAGAGTGAAGCCAAGGGAAAAAAGCAATATGCCAAACCTTAGTCCTGGGTCTTATAGGCAGGCAGGCATGGGACATTCTGTTACATAATCTAAAACCAAATAATTTTTCCTCAAAAATAAGTCCTTCTCTGAACTTGCTTATTTTTGTCACTACTATTCTAGTCATCCAGGTTAAAAATCCTTATGCTTAATGAAGACATAATCAGGGCTTATAAATTATGTGATAAGGGCAATGCTAATTACATGATCAACATTTAGGAGCACAAACAATTAATTCTGTGAGGTGAGAGCTATGGTAAAAACTTTTCAGAGGAAGTATATGAGCTGGTCATTGACTGAGTCCAGTTTTTCCCAGAGAATTAAGGGAAAGGGCTTCTGGATAGAGGATAAAAATTTGAAAATATAGCTTCTCTCCCATTACATTCAATAAATTACCAACTTATCTGGGTCTTCCTTCACAATCTTTTTCTTACATCTGCCCCCTTTCCATCTGCCTTAATATTATTACTGCCAATCACCTCATAGTTGTACACTATGTATTACTATGAAATTTCTGATTTAACAGTTTTTTGCCACCAGTTTAAATACTCATAGCTATCACTAACAGACTTTTAAAAATTATCTCCTTTTACATGATCATGGAACCTGTAAAAGTTCCTTATTGATTCTGAAGTAAAAAGTGTACTTTGTAATTTTTAGATACATACAAACCATTAAAATATGTATTTAAAATACAGGTACATTACATTTATCTTAAAATGCATATTTTATTTCAGTAGCCAATGACCATCAATCAAACAAAGAAAAGAAAACTAATTTCATGAAGAAAGACAAATCTATGGAGTGGTTTACAGGAAGTGAAGAATGAGATGGCTCAACTAAACCAACCTGGAATCATAAATGACAATATGTCTAACTACAAGACAAGTGTCAAAGTGGGACATTTAAGCAATTTTGAAATGTTACACATCTTTCTTTAGCTTTTATTTTTCAAAATTGTATGTGAAAGTTACACAAATCAGTAATGGCTAAAAATACCAATCTATGAAAGTAATGATTTGCAATATACAGTTGTATTTTGATACTTTTCTGTCTTCAAATCAGTTGCTGTCTTCTGAGGTACTCAGTTAAGTTGTGGTTTGAACTTCCTCAACTTGACAAGAAAAGCTAATTTAAGGGGGAAAAAAGTCAGGTCATTATAATGATTAGAAGAAAACACCATTTAATAGGGCCTGAAAACATCACCCACCTGTGTGACCAGTTTGCCAGTGTACAGGTCTAGCAATGTAGGGAGATGGTCCATATGGAAAGTCAGAATGTGATTCTGCTGTTGTAGAACAAAATGGTACTGTAAGCTACATAAAATATTTCATAATTTGTTCAAATATTTCAAAACTGTTAAAGTACAAATTAATGTCACTTTACTGTAAATTTTTCTTTCAAATAACTTTTTAGAATTTGTTTTGGAGCTACCATACCAGTTGTCTTACAGAAACAACTTGTCAAGGATTACATGATAAACTTATATATGGTTTTATAACCAAATAGATAAATCCATATCATAAATCAAGGGATATTTGAAAAAGCTTGTTTGTAGCCTAAGTAATATGTACAGCCCTGGCTGGTGTGGCTCTGTGGAATGAGCACCGACCTGTGAACCAAAAGGTCGCAGGTTTGATTTGCAGTCAGGGCACATGCCTGGGTTGTGGGCCAGGTTCCTCAGTTGGGGGCATGTGAGAGGGAATCAATCGATATAATCTCTTGCACATTGATGTTTTTCTCCCTCTCTTTCTCCCTCCCTTTCCCTCTCCCTAAAGAGTAAATAAATAAAAACTAAAAAAAAAAAAAAAGAATAATGTGTACATACAATGAGGACCTGAATTTAGAGAATTCTATCAGCATAAATAGCAAATATTAGTTATTTGCATAGCAGGTCCTATGAAATTCTTTTCCTTCATTAATAATCACTGATTTAAATAGTAAAAATTCTTTAGCGTATACACACACATGCACACACACACAGTATTTCATAAGCCAACCTCCTTGTCACAGTAAAATATGGATATTATGAGAAGCTAACTTCTTCAAAGGTATCAGAGATGTATATAAAAGGCAAGCAAAGTCATTCTATCCCTTATGGTTTTAATTTAACACTGTAAATACCACATGTCAGTTTAAATACAAAAAAAATCTTTGAGAAATATTTTTATAATTTATTGGTCAATACATTCAGATAACTAGTCTCAATTTATTACTGCAAAACATCTGTATAAAATAAAATTAAAGCTCACCATAGTCATCCTGTTGAAACATCTCTCCTTCAATTCTACTTTTGTTTTGAGAATGTAATTGTAAATCCACGTTGATTTGAGGTTCTGCTTTTTGAACTAAAATCCCACTTTTCTGTTTTGCAAGGCAAACCAACCAATCTCTGACAATGACTTCGCTTATCTTTTCACATGAGAGAGCAAGTTCACAGATGCGAATTCCATCTAAAAGTTCAATAACCTGTGTGATGCTTTCAGAAAAGTAAAAAATGTACTTTAAATTTCTAGTACAACAACTTTAAGTTTATTATATCTCTTATCCAGATTTAAATGCTATTGTTAAATGAAGGGGAAAATAAAAATGCAAATGAGGGCACATAAGCAATTTCACAGAATACTAAGTAAAAAATATAGAGAACATAATTTAACATTATTGTTCACATTACAGTTTCAAAACTTCTAAATTGCCAGAAAAATATGCATGTTATATTGTCATTTATGTAAAGGATGATTTAAACAGCAACATAAATGATTTGGGACATATGTCATCATAAGTTTTATAGCATAATGTATATTATCTAATTCAGTTACATAATGACAAGTGTTTAAAATCATATTAAAAGTAATAGCCACATCACTCACTTTGCTAGATACACAGCACATATACCACCCTGTTTAAGATGTGGATATAAAATAGGCAAAGCAACTTGAGGATTCAACATATCCAAAGCTACCTGTGGGTGAAAAGAGAATCAGACTGAGTTCTGTTTAAGTAAAGCATAGGTTTTCTTTTTTTATCATGGTAAATTGATACCCAGTTAAATTATTTCATTTTTCAGAATACAGTTCTAACTCATTTTACTGCTCCCCAAAAGATATATTTATTATTATACAATTTGCCACAGTACTTAACTACACAAAGATTGTAATGAAGTTCCTTGCACTGGCCAATACTGATAATATAGGATTCCTGCTTTAGATATATTTTATATACATGTATATACTAAAAATGGGGGGGAGTAGGTTTACGAGTGTGCCCTTATTTATTTATTCTTCATTCGGTTACAGAATACAGGGCTGTAATCACAAAAGATGTCAAATGAATACAATGAGTAAACAGAATTTTCCAAAAAAATAATAACGAAATATGGTTTTTTCAAAATAGAAAATAAAGTGACCATTATTGAAAGATAATTCCAGACAACTAAGAGTAGTTGGCACATCAATATATTTAGTAAATTATAAGTTATTCTATTGTTTGTATTCTTTAAAAAATAGTGTAATGCATCAAGGAACATTATTAATTAAATCACTAATTATTCGAGTGCCTTCCATGTGCCAGGCATTTTGCCAAGTGATTAAGAATATAATGGGAGTTTACATACCGTGTGGTTTCGTGGCAATTTGTATCCTAATAAAGGGACAGACATTGAACAATAAACATAAGTCAGAGGATGATGAATGTCGTGAACACCTATAGAATTACAAAGCAGAATGTGAGGGACAGAGTGACAGGGCAGGGAAAGTGCCATTGTTATTCATAGGCTGGTCAGTGAAGCGACCTGAAGAAATGATTAAGCTTGCCCTGCGGAAATCTAAGGGGAAAGTGCGCTCCCGATGGAGAGAGCAGCAAATACAAAGGCTCTGAGTCTGTATGAGAGACACTTGGTGAGTCTGAGAAGGCCACTGTCACTGCAGTGGAGACAAAATGAGGAAAATTGTAAGAGATGAGTTCTAAAATGGTAGGGCTACAGTGGGAATGGGAGAGAGACAGATTCTGTAGCATTTTATGAGCTTTAGCTTTACTCAGGAAGAGGAAAAGCTACAGGAAAGTTTTAAAGAACGATATAATCTGACTTTTTAAAAAACCCTTTTTCCATGGTAAATATAATAAAAATTGCCATTCTAAGTGTATAATTTAGTGGCATTATGTACATTGTGACTTACTTTTTAAAACTATATGTAGAAAGGACAGAGAAGGCAAGGAAGGATGAAGATGGCTTGTGCTAGAAAACAGCATTGGATGTGACGAGAAGGGGTATAAATTTTGAAAAGCTAAGAGCCAAATAGGAACTCGCTATGAGATGGAACAGAAACGTAGTAGTCAGAATGAATCTGCCAGAATGGAGATGTCATTTATTAACAGGGAAAGTGATGAAAACTATGGGAGGATGGAGCTGAAGGAGAAATAATCAAGAATTTAGGTTTGAACATGAGTTTACGCTTTCTGTTAGATATCCAAGTAAAGACCTCAATGACTGGATCAAAGGATCAACATGATGGACCTGCATAGGTTTCTTGACTATAGTTTTGCTGTATTACTGACAAAGACCAAAGCCAAGAAACCCGCCAACCTTTTTCAATGCTCTATTCTCGGTTAACATTAACCATTCACCCAGTCACTCAAACGAGAAACTTAAAAGTCATCATTTTATTTACCTTGAATTATCTTTTGAAAAATCTGTGGGGTTTTGTGCTTCTGTTCGGGTTAAAATTATCTAGTCCCACAAACCTACCTCTTAAGTATTTTTCTAAGGCATCTACTGCTAATGCCATAGTTCAGGACCTCATCCTATCCGTGGAAACATTACAGCATTACAGCTTTCTGTATAGACGCTCGGCCTCCATTCTAACACCAGAATTATTCTAAATCAGGAATTTGGACATTCTACTCCCATACTTAAAAACTCAGCAGTAGTTTCCCCATAATCTATGAAATAATGCCCCTAACTTGATGGGGTGTTTTGTCCTTATTAAGCTATAATATGCAAGCCAAACAAGGATGAGGAAAAAGAACTGTGGTCTTTATGTCCAGGAAGCTGTGCTACTAAAACTATAGGCTTTCGGCCCTGGCTAGTGTGGCTCAGTGGATTGAGCACCAGCCTGCAAACTGAAATGTCACCAGTTCGATTCCCAGTCAGGACACATGCCTGGGTTCCAGGCTAGGTCCCCAGTTGGGGGGGGTGGGTGTGAGAAGCAACTGATTGATGTTATCTCTCACACATTGACATTTTCCTCCCCTCTCTATCTCCCTCCCTTCCCCTCTCTCTGAAACTAAATAAATAAACCCTTTAAAACTATAGATTTTTGATAAAGAACCAGTCCTGATAAAATCATCACTCTCCTCTTTGACATTTCTCACCTAGGTTCCCTTATAGGGGTCCTAAAATAATCCAACTTTCCAACAGCCAATAAGAAAAACAAAGACTCCTTACTAGACCTCGTCCATAATGTCAAGCTATGAATAGATAATGGCATCATGAAGGATAAAGCAACTTATATTAGAATTCCAAAACTTTGAAGTCAACTAAGACCTCCACGTCCCACATCACTGCTCACAGCTTAAAATGTCATCCTCTGGTCACCTATCCTTTTATCTTCACACTACTCCGCTCCTGCCCTTATTCAACCTCCCACTGGTCCTCTTTTTCACAAATTCCTCCACTCCACTTTCTGGAGATGTGTTCATGATAAATCTTTCTATCCTCAACACCATTAATGAATCCTCCTCTTCATCATGACTTGAACTGTCTAAAGATGCCTCTGGCCTGTTCCCTCTCAAATGGAGGTGATTTATTCCCCCAAATCTCACAACATGAGGTCAGGTGCTGGTCTCATATGCTCCCAATGCT